CCTGCAGCGTGGCAATGCCTGCCACTGGAGCCCTTGGCTCCACCACCCTGTTCCACCGGCACCCTTGGAACTGCACTGTCACAGCAGCCGGACAAGCTGCGGACGTTTTGACTACAGGGGATGAGCCAGGAGTGATGCCTGCCATTCCCACCCCCCAGCCAGGGGAATTTATTTGCCCAACAGCTTGAAGATGAATGCCTGCAGTGTCAGCAGCAGCTCCCCTCCCCAGCGGAGTGCTGGGCCCTGCACAGGCATCTCTCCATCCCCTGCTTGGGTCCGGTTGCAGCCCCTGGGGAGAGATGGCTGGTGTTCGAGCAGGCAGCTGAGGCCACTGTTTCTGTGTGGGAGGTGGGAAGCCTTTCAGCATCCCTCTGCCTGCGGGTTTCCAGCCGGTGCTTGGCTGTAGCTCCCTGGCGCTGCAGGCTGGAGCGTGCAGCGGGGACTGCTTCTTCCTTCCCTGTGCTGGGCTGGTACAGCGGTAGCCCCTGGTAGGGAGGAGGTAGCCTCAAAAACACAAGTGCTACAGGTCAAAAGGAGTTTAGGCTTCACAGGAGGAAAAACCTTTCGTCGAGGCGCTGCACAGCTATAGAAATTGCAGCTCTTTCCGGCAGATGTCAGCTCGGAATGGGAATCAGCTGCAGAGGCCATGAGGGGACATCACAGGGCTTCTCGGAAATGATACGCTTTCAGTTCTGATAACTGTAAATGTAACAAATGTAACATGTAGGGGATGTTATCACTTCAGGTGGTCAGAAACAAGTCTTGGTTCTTTGTGAATATTGGGACGGTTGCAAGACAAGGGACTCCTGAATAATCCCTTTAGGCGCCTGGGCCTTGGGAGAACAGGTATGCAAACTACAGAGATAGGGAGGCTGCAGGATAATCTGAAGACCCCTGCCGAGAGACGCCAAACAAACATGTGCGATGGACATTACCATATATTAATGAATTCTCAGAAAAGCCATTACTATGGTAAACATTTCTTGGAAATGTAATCAATATGTATGTTAACATAGCATAAATACCTAGTAACTGTGTCTCTTTGGTGCACACGTTTGGAGGAGAGATCCCCCGTGTGCCCGGCGCCGCAATAAAGAATACCTGCTTCATAGTCTGCCGACTATTGAGTCTTCAATTCTGGCTTTTCACGGCATCAGTTCCCAGAATGAAGTGCTGTGGTTGCTGTTCGCAGGGTATTAGGAAAATCTACCTGCCAGCTCACTGCGTTGCAAACTGTGGGGGCCTCCTGAAGGTCTCGCCTGCAGAACAGCCTTTGGGAAGGGTAGGATTGCTCTGGGCAAAATGTGAGCTGGGTATGAAAATTGTATTGCTCCTCATCCCTGGATCAGAAAGAAACCGCCACCAGCTCATTCAGTCCAGGGTCCTGCTGCCAAATACAGTCAGTAGCTAATATTTATAGAAAATATAAGCAGCAGCATAAATCCCTGGTGATCCCATCACTGGGATACTCTCGTGACCTCCTCTGGTTAGCAGTTTAGGGCTCATTCACTTCAGCCACAAGTATCTGAGGGCTTTGCACTTCTTGTAGAAACTGGTTTGGAGGGCCAGAGCAGCAGCAAAGAGCAGACCATAGGGAGACAGGAACCAAAGGGGAGGATGGAGAGCCTTGCAGGAAGAGCTTCAGGAGCAAGTAATGACTTAGCTTCCTGCAGAAGAGGAGGAACGAGGCTCTAACCAACAGAAAGCCAAAGCTGTCGATGGCAGCTGTGGGAGGGGAATGAGGCAGCAAAGGATGTGGCAGATGTACAGGCAGTGAGGATGGAGAGGGTAGATGCCAGGGGCAGTGAAGAGTGAGACCTCAGTGAGGGAAGGAATAGAGTAAAATCTGGTCTGAGTGGGTGTCTGGGCTGTGAGGATGGCTGTTCATGGGGGAGAGCAGGAAAGGAGAACTCTGCTGAGACTATTTCCCCATCCCTGACTGGTTTCCCAGTGGGCTAAGTCCATTGAGGGGCCACGGGACACTGAAGACCCCCAATAAGCCAGCGATAGGGACAGGCAGTGTATCAGAAGAGCAGGTTGGGGCAGGGGGAACCAAGCAACACACGAGGAGGAGATTTGGCATGTGTTGCTTTTCTGGTCAAAGGCATTCTGAATTGGCCAAACCCAGGGTGAACTCCTGCTGATGAGTCTTTGCTCTATGGGACCTTCATAAGAGCAGGCGTAAGATGGGCTCAGGCATTGCTACAGTCTGCCAACATCTCTGGCTGGCGCGAGTAGGAGGTTCCTCTCCCTGGAGATGAAAAGGGTCCTGGTCAGCCCTGAAACCTGTTGGCTGGCAGCTGGGAAGTATCCAGGATAGGTAGGTAGTGCCCTGTCCCTGCCCTCTTGCTGCTCAGAGCCATCGAGCCATGTGAGCAGCTCGTTTCTACAGACCATCATCAAGCAAGTGGAGGAAAAGAAGATTATCAGGAGTAGTCAACATGGATTCACCAAGGGGAAATCATGCTTGACCAATCTTATAGCTTTCTATGATGGCATGACCTGGCTGGGTAGATGAGGGGAGAGCAGTGGATGTTGTCTACCTTGACTTCAGCAAGGCTTTCGACACTGTCTCCCATAACATCCTCATAGGGAAGCTCAGGAAGTGTGGGCTGGATGAATGGTCGGTGAGGTGGATTGAGAACTGGCTGAATGGCAGAACTCAGAGGGTTGTCATCAGCGGCGCTGAGTCTAGTTGGAGACCTGTAACTAGTGGTGTTCCCCAGGGGTCAGTACTGGGCCCAGTCTTGTTAAACTTCTTCATCAAT